AGTAGGGTAGGGTAGGAGAATAGAATAAAGTATAGAGTAGGGTAGGAGAATAGAATAAAGTATAGAGTAGGGTAGGAGACTAGAATAAAGTATAGAGTAGGGTAGGATAATAGAATAAAGTATAGAGTAGGGTAGGAGAATAGAATAAAGTATAGAGTAGGGTAGGAGAATAGAATAAAGTATGGAGTAGGGTAGGGTAGGAGAATAGAATAGAGTAGGGTAGGGTAGGGTAGGAGAATAGGGTAGGGTAGAGTAAGAGAATAGAATAGAACAGAATTATTTATTGGACGAGTGATTGGACACCCAAGGAATTTGTCTTTGGTGCACAAGCTCTCAGTGTACATAAAAATACATTCAGAAGATACAACACTTAGTGATTGTCATAGTGTCGGAGCGTTTGCAGCGTGACTACCATTATGAAACAACCCAGGAGCAAAACACAACACACAGAGGCTTAGACTTTTAACAGTGGTGGTTTATCTACAATACAGTTATACACAGAAATATACGTGGTAGGCAAAATAACTTGCAAGCAGGCACAAGTTCTTCTTAACTCTTCCACGGAGAACTCTGCAATGAATACTGGACACAAGGAGAGAGAACCACGCCCTCTAATGGCTGCAATATACGGTATAAACACCTCTTAAAGCAGGGGTGTCCAACCTTGGCAACTTTAAGACTTGTGGACTTCAACTCCCAGAATTCCTCAGCCAGAAGGAAATACCCCATGCTATGCTGAGTCATTCTCATTGCATCAGCAGCTGTTCAGACTTTAACACATAGGTTACTAATAAGAATAAGTCTTTATTGATTAGCCCTTGGGCCATATCAAAGTGCAGAATTCCAGCAACGATTTGTTACTAAAATTGAATGAAAGCAATTCAAAATGAAATTTGGATAAAATACTATTTAAAATGGACCTTGATAAAATACACTTTAAAATGGAATCTAGACAAAATACGATTTAAGATGAAATAGTAATAAAATACAATCCAAAATAAAATTGTAATAACGGACAAGAATTTAAGATATAAATAAAAAGGTTACTAATAAGCAACCAAATCATACTCGGAAACAAATAAAACAATAGAAATTGCAAAGATACAAGCAATATGGTTATAGTCATCAGCGGGAAGAGATAGGTACTAGGAAGGATGAGAAGAGTAATAGTAGTGCAGTCTTACTAAGTAGTTTGACAGTGTTGTGGTGTTGGAAGAATTCTCCTTCTGGGTTCAGTTCCAAGTGGGGAAGAAAGACACTGGAAACATGGTGACTGCTCGGAAAGATGGTTTAATGGTGGACAGGATCATATGCCTTGGGTGAAGAAAGAAGGAAGGGTTGAGATGCTGAAAGTCCCTGGGTTTTATACCCTCTGTTGGGGTTTGAATTGGAGCTTGTATTCTGATTGGTTGTCAGACTCCCGTGGGGCCATGCAGGGCCCACTCTGTAGGCTGTTTAGATAATAAAATATAATATTAAAATATGTAGAATTTTAGAAAACAATGAATATATAAAGATGTATTTCTTTTCTTTTTTTATTATTATATCTATAAAATGTTTCTAGGATAGATTTGGGAGGATTATATGAATTGTTATAAAATAAACTAAGCAAATTATAGTTATCTCGCAAAGTATGAATGAACAAAATTGTAGTCAAATGATTGATTAATAATGATACTAGGGTATTTAATCTTTGATTGATAATATGAGTTATTATGCAATGTAACTGTAATTGTGACTATGAAATGGATGCACAAAAATTTGTAAACCAACCAACACACTGCTTGTACACTTATGGCTTTGGGCAATTCTTATGATAGCTCTACCTGGAGTAGATCTTTGTTATGTAAAATAGGCCGGCCTAGGCCAGAGTACTGGTCTATTAGCAAAGGTGGGGGTGAGCTTCTGCTTCTGAGTTTCTACTACTCTTTTTCGGGGAAAATATTCTGCCTTTTTAATATTTCCTGGGGTATTTCATTTTTTCTAGGAGAGGGGGTGGGTGCTAACTTCCTACAGTGGGATGCCAATAGAAAGAAAAACGGAGAAAGTCAAAGAGGAAAGAAGTGCAGGAAGAAGAGAAAAAGAAAGGAAAAAGCTCAGCGTCTCAGCTCCTGAGCCACCGTGTCCCAGTCTCCTTCATTTTATCAGACCCTTTTATCCGATGAGGTGGGTGTACGGTAGGGTATAAATGTCTCTTACTCCCACCCCAGGGCATTGCTTCCTCCGGAAATGGCTGCTGATGTCGGATCCGGAGGATTTCTCGGTCGGCGCCAAAGGCTACCTGAAAGTCAGCTTATATGTCCTCGGTCCTGGGGACGAAGCCCCCGTGAGTATTTCCATCAAAGGGGGTCAAACTTAGAAAAAGGGTATTCCCCCCCAAAGAAACCCCTCCTCCTTGGTGAGGGGCTCTTCAGGTAGGTGGCCTCGGTGTCTCCCAGCAAAGTCCGCAGCGCAACGGAGGGACTATTCCAGCTGGATGCCGGGCAGCGAACCGGTTGCTGGGATTTTGGAATCCCACCCCTGGAAAAGTGCCTGCAGAGAGACAGGTGGTCCTCTAGGTCAGGGGTCCCCAACCACCGGGCCGCGGACCGGTACCGGTCCGTGGAACATTTCCTACTGGGCCGCCGGTTTGCTGGGCGCCGCCATCTTGTTTGACGAGAAAGTGCTTCCGGGTGAGCTGTTCTGGTTGGAAAGCGGCGTTTGGGTCCTGAAGGAATCCTCACGCCTTAGTTTCATCGAAGGGGGGGGGGCTTCGAACGAAACTAGGGCCTGAGGATTCTTTCAGCACCCAAGGCAAGGCGAGCCGAGCGACCGTCCCGAAGTGAAGCCCATCGACAAAGGTACAAAGGAGGAGTTGAAGGTGGCGGGGAGAAGCGGGGGACGGCTGGCTGGCCGGTCGCTTGGCTCACCTTGCCTTGTCATGTGTGCTGATGCCGGTACCGGGCCGCGGATCATTTTGTGATGCCAGTACCGGGCCACGGCACAAAAAAGGTTGGGGGCCACTGCTCTAGGTCAGCGGTTACCAACTCGTGAGCCGGGGACCACTGATGGGCCATGAGAAAAATTTGGAGATCCGCAGAGAAATGTCCCCTGCCCTCAAAAAGCAATTAATCCAGGCTGTGCAGGAACACAAGGCTATGCCACCCACATGGCCCTCCCACCCGCTGGCCCCTACCCTTCGGCCAAGCGCAAACATTATCTTGAGTAGAGCCACGCGAGCTGGAACTGGAAGGTAAGACCAAGGGCAGGGGAGGGAAAACTGCCCCAGGGTGGCTTGCTGACGTTGGTGGGAAAGTCGGTCCCATATTTCAGATCTGCAGGAGTCACCGGATTGACCCTTTGGCCATCCTGGAGCAACTCTTCCAGTCTATAGCAGGCTGGTGCATCCGGGTGGAGGAGCAGCTGCTCCCACCAACGTGTGATGAGCCAGGGTGGGATACAAAATAAACACAGCCACAAAAAACAGGTGAAGCAGCCCCTTTTATTCCTTCACTTTGCTTCCAAGCTCCAAATATCCTTGACTGGAGATAAAAAACTCCCACACGAGCAGTTACAAGAAGGAGGAAATGCCGTTTAAACTAAAAATGCCTATAAATTATAAAAAGTAAAAAACAACACAAACCAGGCAAGATAAGGGCTTGAAGACATCCACAAATATCAGAATACACACAGGGAGGGACGCTAAACTTAGAGAGGAACAATAAACTAGAGATATTTCCATGCTTTGTTTCCAGCACTCGCTTGTATGCATGTCCGTCCTCTTATCCAGTTGTCACAGCTGCAGCCCATGAAGAGGATCAAGGCCCTCTCCTCCCCAGTAGACCACATATCTCCTTTATTGTCTCCTCCCTCCGTGCCCTAGGATGGATAGGGGATGGGCCTGGGTCCTCCTCTGACTGCCCAGCCGGCCTCTGCCCTTCCCCAGCCTCCTCCACCACCTCCGGAGCCGCACCTCCACTCCCTGTCGGCTGTTCCTCCTCTCCCTCAGAGTCAGTCTCCACCAGGGGCATGACACAACGTCAGCAAGCCACTGTCAGTCAAAATTCATGTTAGTGGTTCACAGGGTTTGAAATTATGAGTTTGGGGGTCCCTGAGGTCCAAAAGGTTGGTGACCCCTGATCTAGGTACCCCCGTGTGAAGGCAGGCAAGTGCTTCATTCGTCCTCTCACTCTCTTCCCAGATGGAGAGGAAGGAAGCTATCGAGGAGAAAGAGGACATCGAGGGGAACGTCTTCAAGCCGCCAGGCGTGGCTCTCCGTGGCGCCCACTTCTCCCTGAAGGTCTATCGAGCAGAAGACCTGCCCCAGAGTGAGTGGTGGGGTGAGGAGGGCAACCTTGCTGGGAGGACGGGGAAGGGAGGGAATGGTTTCTGGGCTGGAAGCCAAACTCTGAAGGCCCCCTTCTCTCGGTTGTGGATGATGGGATATCTTATTCAACACCCTGGAAGGCATCTGATTCTGGACGGCTGTTGGGTCTGCTTTGTCAGAACGAGGACAAAGTGACCTGAATTTGATGCTTTTTCAAAGCCCAATTGGGACACTTTTCACGAATGGAGGCAAATCTACGGGGCCCCAAGATAATGTTGCAGGATTCCTGTTGTGGCCCCGATTCCTGAGCCTATGCTGTCAGAGGAAGAGGACCTGGAAGATGAGGAGGAGGAACTGGGAATGCCTTCCTCCCCAGGACCTTCCTCTCTGGCAATGCCTTCCTCCCCAGGACCTTCCTCCCTGATAATGCCTCAGGTTCCATCAGACAACCAAGAGGAACAGCCTCAAATTAATCAGGAGGAAGGCATATCGGAGCAGCCCCTGACAGGGAGTAAAGAGGAAGAGTGTTGGCTCGATCCTAAGCAGCGTTGTAGGGAGAAACATGAGCAGCAACGTAGGAGGTGTGGGAGGGTCAGAGAGTGAGCTGAGTCATTGAGCCACACCCCACAGGGGATAAAAGTGGGTGTGTTTTCTCCTGAAACTTTGTACGGGACAAAGTTTAACCTTACTTCAGATTTTCTTTGTGGACTGCCTTGTGATTTTCTGTGAATAAAATTTTATTTGCTATCAGTTCGGACTTGGCAGGCAGGACATGTGGGAATGCCAAGAATATTATCAGTTCCAAAGAATTAACTCTGTGAAGTCCGAGCCAGCTTGCCTGCCTGTGTTTGTGTGAGTTTGTACTCTTTCATCTTTTGGGAAAGAGGAAAGGCGAGACAGAACAATTCCCGAGGGTCTTGTGATCAAAATCCGGATGCTTGGCAGCTGGTTCGTATTTATGACGGTCTCAGGGTCACGTGATCCCCATTTGCAACCTTCAGACAAACAAAGGCAGATTCACTTAACAATCATGGTACCAACTTAACAACTGCAGTGATTCGCTTAACAAGTATGAGTGGAAAGGTCGTAAAATGGGGCAAAACTCACTTCAGAAATGTCTCGCTTAGCAACAGAAATGTTGGGCTCAATTCTGGTCATAAGTCAAGGATTACCTGTACCTCCTTCCTTCCCTCCCTCCCTCCCTCCTTCCCTCCCTCCTTCCTCCCCCCTCCTTCCCTCCCCCAGCCCCTCCTCCCTCCCTCCCTCCCTCCTTCCCTCCTTCCTCCCTCCCTCCATCCCTTCCCTCCCTCCCTTCCTGGGGAAGCCGATCCCCATCTCCCCTGGCCCCATTCAGCAGTCTCCACTCCCATGTCCCTTCCAACCATATGATCTTGTGATTCCAGTGGATGATGCCGTGATGGACAGCGTCAAGCAGATCTTCGGCTTTGAAAGCAACAAGAAGAACCTGGTGGATCCCTTTGTGGAAGTTACCTTTGCAGGGAAAACGGTACGTCAGCTCCTGTGTCTTGGTATACTCCTGCTTGAGCAGGGGTTGGACTAGAAGACCTCCGGGGTCCCTTCCAGCTCTATTCTGATTGAACTGGGAAGCGTTGTGAGAGAAAGCCTTTCTATTTCCAGAGACGCAGGATCAGCTTTCCTTTCCTAAAATACGTAGGAGCTACATGGCCCTTTGGAAGCTCTGCCTAAAACCGGAGCTATGTCCTATAAGGGATCTATGGAGTAGAAAGGGGGAATGAAATTCAAAGATAAATTAATAAGTGCAGGCATAAAAGTAATCCTCAACTTACAATTGTTCATTTAGTGACTGTTCTGTTCTGACCTAGGCTTCCCCAACAGCACAAAGCTGAGTCCTCGTCCCGATAAACCCCCTTTTATTTAATTTACAATGAATTTCCTCTCCAACAAAGTCCTGGCCAACCGTCTTTCAAGGTAGTTCCCAATTACAAACCTTTATCAGGCTTGGAAGAGGGGCCAGGCCGATATCTTTCAGATGCGGCAACACTTGGCAAGCATGCGGAATGAACCAATTGTCTCCTGCAAAGCTCCACTCCCCTTTCGCTCCTCTTTTGTTCCCTACGGGGGGGGGGGCCATTTACCGCCCCCCCCCCTGTGGTTTTACTCCCAAATTGGCCCGTGTTCCTGAGCTGTTCCCTTCATCTGGCAGCTCTGTGCATGCGCACACTGGGAACAGGCTCCAGCTGTTCTTCTTCCTCACTTATCTCAGATTCCAAAGGCAGCTGATAACTGTCAGACGGCCCTGGCCCCACCTCTGCCTCCGACACAGAGCCCTCGTCAGAGCCTTCCCCAGACTCCAGGACTGGCCCATGTTCCTCCCCAACCTCCTCACTGTCCAAATATGCTGCCAACTCTGCTGGCTGCTGTTGGGCCACAACACGTTCCAAGTTACCAAGGCACAGAAAAAAGTGGCTTATGATGTTTTTCACACTTACAACAGTTGTAGCATCCCTCATAGTCATGGGATCAAAATTCAGGTGCTTGGCAGCTGACTCGTATTTATGACAGTTACAGCATCCCGGGTGTGGGTGTGTGTCACCTGTTCCCCTTTTGCGATCTTCTGGCCAACAACATCAACGGGGAAGCCCGATTCACTTAACAATGGCGTCCCTGTTCTGACCCAAAACCCTTTTCCAATAAAACAAACAATAACCAAAGGGAACAGAAACCTTTTCATGAGTCTTACGAAGGCTGCTGCAAACTAATTAACTTTGATAAGCACAAGCCTCGCCAAAACTGTGTGAGGCTGCCAAGAATAACAGATAAGAAATAGTTTACAACACAAGAGTCCTCAAATACCAACTGTAATGTCCACGAGGCTGAGTTTCAAAACATCTTTGCTTCCTGCAAAGAACGTCCGATTCACAGCTGGCTTTTATCTTCTTGAGGGAGGGGCCATTATCTTGCAGCCTTACTCCTGAGTCACCCGTGCTGCTGCAGCTGCTCTTTAATGTGAGCAGCCCTGCGTGCATGCACACTGGGCACAGGCTCCTCGGGAACCTCCTCATCGCTGCTGCCAGCCCTCACAATCTCCAAAGGCAGCAGTCCACTCCCTGATGGTCCTGGCCCCTCATCTGAGTCCTCGCTCTCCTCAGCCATCCTCACCTGCTGCCGGCTAACCACAACAGTCCCTGACTTAGCAACCACATGGATTCGCTTAACAAGAACGGTCGTAAAACGGAGACCAAACTCACTTAACAAGGGTCTTCCTTAAGCTACAGAAATGTTTAGGCTCAATTGTGGCCATAAGTTGAGGACTTACATGGTTTTGTTTCCCGGTTGAGCCAGATTTCTGCCTGGAAAGTGGGCAGCAGGACCCCCGAAGATGGGGGGGGGCACTTACTCAGGGGTATCTTTCCTTCCTTTGAGTAGCTCTGCAGCAAGATCGTGGAGAAGAACGCCAATCCGCAGTGGAACCAGATTGTCACGCTGCCTGCCATGGTGAGCCCCCCCCCGACCCCCGTCTCCCAGTCTTTTCACAGCATCCCCTCTTTCCCCGAAGCCCCTCTCTGACCCAGCCTCTTCGGCTCTTCCCTGCAGTTTCCCTCCATGTGTGAAAGGATGAGGATCCGTGTCATGGACTGGTGAGTAAAGAGCGAGGGGCCAGTGACGGGATTCCGCCTGAGTCCGTCATTTACAACTCGATCCCCCCGTTTGCAAGGTTTGGGATGGGAAAAGGAGCCGGGCAGCCTCGTTTCTAGCTGGGGGCTGCAGTTCAGCCCTACCCGTTGTTTTTTTTTAAGCGCATGAAAAAGATGGGGATTCTGCACAGTTTGAGTAAACTTGACTCCCTTCTAGCACGGATGATGTTACCTAATTGGGTCATGAAATGTCTACAAGAAAACTCCCCAGCTCAGAGGAG